ATAATGGCCCGGCTTATCCTCAAAATCTTTTCAGCAGTTTTGCACTCGCTTGGGTGTGGAGCACCGTACCGTCTTCCTACAACCTCAAGGCGAAGGCATCGTGGAGCGTGCTCACGGCACGCTCAAAATGTACTTACAAAAACAAAAGGGGAGATGCCCTACAGCTAGGGCTATCACCAAAGGACGCCTCTCCTTTGCTCTCTTACTTTAAATTTTTAAATTAGATGTCAAGGGACGTTCGGGCAGCAGAACGCATGCCACGCCTGCTCCCGCCACAGAAAGAATTAGTGAAAGTGGAAAGATGTGTGTCTAATCTATGGGAAAGGCCCGGATCCAGTGATAATGAGATCCAGGGAGCTATTTGTATTTTCCACAGGACCAGACAATCCCATCTGGGTGCCCACGCGGCTGACCAGAACGGTGCAGCCTCTGGAGCAGCATGAAACGTGCTGGCTACTCTCCTGGCAGTATGATGATCGCGAGGATGGCAGCGGAGCCACGCTGGGGATCCTGTCAGTGCTTCCCTGCCGATGCCTGTGACACATAACTCACCAATTTTCCCCCGCCTTTTTCTACTAATGTTCCCTGGACCTGCGTTGGACACGCGGATAGTAAAACTGGAGGGAAATAGATCCTTCTCCTTGAAGGGATTGTTTTGTGTGGTTAACAGAAGCTGCCAGACTTGGCTCCCCTGTCCATTGGTGGCTGGGGTATGGCAAGGAATGCTAGGTTTCGCATGGAATCTTAGCGACTCTTTAAGGTTCTGTGAGGGTATGCGGGGAGGGCAAAAATGGAAACCCTTTGCCCCTATACCTGTCTGGGTTGCACCCCGTTTATCTGGGTGGTTATCACAGAAAAACCTCTGGTCACACATGTACTGTTCCTCTAATACGTGCAATTATACACATTGTGTTGGAATGCAGTCATCCCTCTGCCATTGTTACCCGCTTGCCTAGATACTCCTGTTCCTGTTGAAGCGTCCTAGCTTTATGACTCTTGTTTCGGTCTTGCGCCACAGACCATGTGTATTGGCACAGACATTTCTGCGCTTGAACTGAGACAGTCCTGCACAGGTGTGGTGACCATGCTAAAAGTGTAGCCTAGTTTGGGTTGCACCCCTCCTACCCCCAGGTATTTTTAGCAGACATGGCCTTTGCACTCTGAGCGGTCTCTCCATTGCACCAAATAAGGCATGTCTCCTATCCACAGCCAGCCTTTGCACACCTCCAGTTGTCTGCCATTGCACGAGGTTAGGTGTTGCGTGTGTAAAGTGAGGCTCTGCAACTGATCGCACGGTCGAGAGGACGGTGCTGAACGGTTGCTCAGCTCTCATTAAATTAATAAAACAGGGGAGATGTGGGGCCGGTGACAACGCCATTAACGTTGGCGCTGTTTCCGGCTTGCTAGAGCAGCAAACAAGTTCAGCGACAACAATTTCGGTTGCCCTGTGCGCGAGCATGCAAAACGAGTCCTGCTAGGACTAATGCTTTGTGGTCGCAGCTGAGCGCTATCCAGCTTAGGGGGTTTTGCTTCTAGGTATATAGCAGCCTGCGCGCTGCCGGCTGGGTCTTCCGCATCATGTAAGTCTAAAGGGAACCATTAAAGCACTGTCAGAAGAACTCCGGTTGCCGCGTCTTCCTTGCTGGCGAGGCGGGCGCGACAACTGGAGGCCAAGAGTTCAAGACCAGCTTGAGCAACATAGTGAGACTTCATCTCTGCAAAAAAATTAGCCGGGCATGGTGGCAGCACCTGTAGTCCCAGCTACTGGGGAAGCTGAGGCAGGAGGAGCACTTGAGCCCAGGAGTTTGAGGCTTCAGTGAACTTTAGACACACACACACACACACACACACACACACACACGGCATCCAAAAGTATAGAAGAACAAGCAAAAGAATAATTATTTAGGCCAAAATATAAATGTGGGCAGGAATCCAAACAGAAAAGTCTTTTTTATCCTGAGTGCGTCTGACCCATCTGGAGAAAGTTTGATTTTCGCAGACTCACAAGCTCCTTTCTTACAGCTTACAGGCTGTAACAGATAGAAGACGATGTCCAGCGCTCATTCAAGCAGGGAGCATAAGAGGAGACTCTCCCCAACCTCAGAAAATCTGGGAAACCAAAGGTTCAAATCCTAAAATGGTGAAACAAAACAAAATCTGCTTCATCCCCAAATACAAGAGTATTCTAAGGAAATTAGCCTTTGAACCAGCAAAAAGAAAAAAGGAAAAAAAGGAAGGAACAATTTTCTGAAAATCTGTAACTATCAGCCAGCACACCTATAGATTTGTTGTCTAGATTTCCTTTACTATTGTGGGTCACAGTAACCTCAAGCCATGATTTTAGTTATAATTCTCCTGGATTGGTGGTAACTCAAAAATTAGAAGAAGAAAGCAAAATTCTCTACAGAAATCCACATTTAACCTATGTGTAAAAGAATTTATGTAAGTAATTATACAAGGAAAGAGAGCATCTCAGAAGAAAAAATGTATAAGAACAAATGGAAAGAAAAAGATAATATGATTAAGAACTAGAAGAAACAATAGTAAAAAGAAGCTCATAAAACTTCAATATTAGAATTATGAAATGTAGAATATAACACAACTGAGATAATTTTATTTAAAGAAAAAATGGCATAGGAAACTGATAATGACCCAGCTGTGGCATTTATAGTTTTTAGAAATCAAAATTTAAAATTTGAATTAAAAACTTAGTTTGTGTACTTTTGCTTTGGGCTGGTGTATTATCCTGCTAAACTTGCCATAACAAAATAACAAAGATTTGGTGGATTAAACAGAAATTTATTTCCTCACAATTCTCGAGACTAGAAGTCCAAGATCAAGGTGCTAGGGGATTTATTTTCTCCTGAAGCCTCTCCTTGGTTTGCAGGTCACCACTTTCTCTCTGTCCTCACGTGACCTTTCCTCTGGGCATGCGCATCCCTGGTGTCTCTACCTCTTCTTATATGGACACCAGTCACATAGGATCAGGGCTCCATCCTTATGATTTCAATTAACTTAACTGCCTCTCTCAAACACAGTCACATTGGAGGTTAGGGATTTAGCATATTGATATAAATTTTAGGGGGTACAGTTCAGCCTATAATAACCATGATGAGCAACAAGGAACAGATTCACTCTCCCGCCTTAACTACAAATTCAGGTAAATATATGAAATAGTAGCATTCAAGCATTACACAACAGACAGGACAATGTTTGTGATCCCTGTAAGAAGAGAATCAAAAGAGATGAGGCTTGCAATCATCCAGCTTCCTTCCTGGAGAGTTTCTAGGACACAGTGCAAGGAGGAGTGCTATGATAGCCAGCAATCTCACTAAGTGGACAGGACAGAGTTGTGTGTTGGGGAGGCCAGGGCAGCCCATGTTTGCAAGGTAAAGGTATACAGGGAAGATAGCTGAGCAGAAAAAGCAGTGAAATCTGCAAAGGGTTCCCCTCAAGCCTTCAGCTCATCAGTGCACACATGTAAGGAAACTACCCAAGGACGGGAAAAGAATAATCCAAAAGGAAGACAGGAAATAGTACCTAGTGATAGACGGGCTGGGAATAATGCCTGTCCTCACCAGCCAGACTGGGAAATGTAATAATTTGCTGAGCATTGGGTATGCAGAATGTTATTTTGTCAGTAGTGGGAATAATTAGCCCTAGACTGAACACTGTCTAATTTTGCCTAACAGGACCCAAAAAGGATCAAACACCTTTCAAATAATTTATTGTGTACCAGAAATATAAAGCTCAAGAATATTTACACTTTGGGAGGCTGAGGCAGGCGGATCGCTTGAGGTCAGTAGTTTGAAACCAGCCTGAGCAAGAGACCCCCGTCTCTACTATAAATAGAAAAATTAATTGGCCAATTAATATATATAGAAAAAATTAGCCAGGCATGGTGGCGCATGCCTGTAGTCCCAGCTACTCGGGAGGCTGAGGCAGCAGGATTGCTTGAGCCCAGGAGTTTGAGGTTGCTGTGAGCTAGGCTGACGCCACAGCACTCACTCTAGCCTGGGCAACAAAGTGAGACTCTGTCTCCAAAAAAAAAAAAATATAATATTTAGGAAAGGCAAAAATATCTAGCATCTGACAAGGTAAAATCATCATGTCTGACATCAGATAAAAATAACCAGGCTGACAAAGAAAATAAGAAAATATACCCAGAAGGCAGAGAAAAACAATCTAACCTGGGACTGACACAAATGTTAGAATTGGCAGATAATGATATTAAAACAATTATTATAACTGTATTTCACGCCAACAGTTATTATAACTGCATGCCACCATGCCCATAGTTCAAAAAATTATATAAGACATGAAAGATAAATAAAAGACCAAAATCAGAATTCTAGAAATGAAAGTGTCTGAGATGAAAAATATACTGGATGTAAAATAAGATTAATGGTAGATTTGATACTGTAGAAGAAAAGCTCAGTGACCTTGTAGACACAGCAATAGCAGCTTTCCAAAATTACATAAAGTAATAGTTATTGCAATGTATTCTTGAGTTTGTAACATATTTAGATATATATAAAATAATAGTACAAAAACTGAAGAAAATGAAATGGACCTATAGAGGGGAGCATTCCTACATCTTATTAAAATTAAGTTAGTATAAATATGAAGTATATTCTGATAAATCCACATGATAGTCTCAATAGATGAAGAAGCATTTGGCATAATTTGATACCATTTAATGATTTAAAAAGTCAATGAAATAAGAATAAAAAGGAATTTCCTCAACCTGATAAAGAGCACTCATGAAAAACCCACAGTTAATATTATAAAGGATGATGGGAGAGTGTGTGGAGTGGGTGGGCGTCCACGGGCTGCTGCACTGACGGGGCTGTGAGCAGCTGGCCTTCCACTCTCACCAGTCTGCGTGGGAACTGACGGTCCTTCCCCAGGGAGCCAGTTCCTCGCCGAGGCCCTGAGCCATGCCCATCATGGCCGCCCCGAATGAGCCAGGTGTAAATTAATTATTTGAAAGCAGCTGAATGGTGGAGCCAGACATCATTCGAATGTATTCTTCATCCCCACCACCACTGGCCAATGGAGCAGAGGATGATGATGATGATGAATTTGGGGAATTTGGTGGGTTTTCAGAAGTTAGCCCTTCTGGTGTAGGGTTTGTTGGTTTTGATACACCAGATTATACTTGTCCCAAGGAAGAATTTGTTCCTTCAAACCATTTTTTGCCAATTCATGATTTCTCAGAAAATGTAGATAGCCTTACAAGCTTTAAGTCCACTAAAAATGGTAATGATAAGGACATTGCTGTTGAACTTTCAACTCCTGTGAAAGGACAATCTGATGTTTTACTTTCTACCACCAGCAAAGAAAGAATTTCATCCAAAACTTTAGATACTTCCATTGATGGCATAGAAAGTCCAGGAAATTTAAATAAAGTAGTGGAGCAGAGACAAAATGTTGGAACACCTGGAAGTTTCTCTCCAGGAGATTTTAGAACTGATAAGATTATTGTTCATCAAAACAAGCAGTTAGAGAGCTGCAATGGTGAAAAGCCTCCCTGTCTGGAGATTCTAACAAATGGGTTTGCAGTGTTGGAAACTGTAAATCCTCAGGAAACAGATGATCTGGACAACGTAGCTGATTCAAAGGGATGGAAGCCTCTTAGCATTCATAGCACTGAGTATAATTTAGACTCTGTACCTAGCCCTGCTGAGGAATTTGCAGATTTTGCCACATTTTCCAAAAAGGAAAGGATACAACTAGAAGAAATAGGACATGCAGTTTTAAATGATAGAGAAGCACTAAATATTCAGGAAAACAATAAAATTAACAGAGTCAATGAACTGAATTCTGTAAAAGAAGTGTCTTTGGGTAGAAGCTTTGACAATAAAGGACACACTGATGGAAAGGATCAGGTTTGTGTTTCAGAAATCAGCGTAATGACTAACATAGGTTTCAGTGTTGAAAAAGAAGGCCTTCCAGCCGGGCGTGGTGGCTCACGCCTGTAATCCTAGCACTCTGGGAGGCTGAGGCGGGTGGATTGCTCAAGGTCAGGAGTTCGAAACCAGCCTGAGCAAGAGCGAGACCCCATCTCTACTATAAATAGAAAGAAATTAATTGGCCAACTAATATATATAGAAAAAATTAGCCGAGCATGGTGGCGCATGCCTGTAGTCCCAGCTACTTGGGAGGTTGAGGTAGGAGGATTGCTTGAGTCCAGGAGATTGAGGTTGCTGTGAGCTAGGCTGACACCACGGCACTCACTCTAGCCTGGGCAACAAAGTGAGACTCTGTCTCAAAAAAAAAAAAAAGGCCTTCCAACACTGCAACAGTATGAACTTTTAAATTCAAGTGTTCAATCAAAGGCTAGGAGTTTGATAGACTCAGCTGATGATTCAGAAGCCATTAAGAGTGAACAATGTAAAACTGAAGAAAAACTTGATTTATTTACTTCTAAATGTGCTGACCTATGCAAGGATTCTATTAAAACTTCTGATGCTGATGATGAAGTTGGTTCTTCCAAAGAAGAAAGTACAAAGTTTACTGATTTCCAAAGTCCAAACATTGACCCCACAAAAGAAAATGTTTTGGATGATTCTGTAAGTGTAAAAAATGGTGATAGTAGTAATGACTTTGTGACTTGCAAGGATACCAATGAGGATGATTTTGGTGCCTTTGGCACAGCCAGAGGCACAACTCCACCTTTTGTTGCTAGTACTCAAGATTCAATGAGTGATGTCACTTTTGAAGAGTCCTCAGAGCACTTTCCACATTTTAGTGAACCAGGTGATGACTTTGGAGAATTTGGGAATATGAATGCTATTTCCTGCCAAGAGGAAATGATATATATCGAGTCAGACCTAAAACAGACTTCTGATAGTTTATCAGAGGGATGTCAGTTGGCAAGAAAGTCTAGTGGAACAGGCACTGAACCTGTTTCAAAACTGAAAAATGGGCAAGAAGTTGAGTTTGGAGATTTTGATTCTGTGCCAAATATTCAAGATGACTGCAATGCTTTTCAAGACTTTGATGATTTTGCAGACTTCAGTTCAGCTGGTCCTACCCAAGTTGTAGATCGGCATGCTTATGAGGATGAACAAAAAGATAGTTGTTCTTGGGCTGCTTTTGGAGACCAGGAAGCTACTGAATCTCATCATCGAAAGGAAGCCTGGCAGTCACATAGGAGAGATGAAAATATTGGTACTCCAGGAACCCCCAAAATGCACAGTGTCCCTTTAACAACTTCCAAAGGAGCAGTTGCTAGTGGCTATTTACAGGAATCAGCCACTTCAGTTCAGACAGCTTTACTAAACCGACTGGAGCGAATTTTCGAAGCATGTTTTCCTTCCATATTTGTCCCTGATGCTGAAGAGGAAGTTACTTCCCTAAAGCACTTGCTGGAAACAAGCACCTTGCCAATAAAAACAAGAGAGGCCTTACCTGAATATGGGAACTGCTGGATGTGCGGACTGAGCTACAGGATACCCATGATGCACATGGCTTGAGATATCAGTGGGCGGCTCCCATAGCAACAAGCTTTTGTGCTCTTTGGAATAGACACCAGAAACATTCTCTTTACGGGCAATAAGAAGCAGCCTGCTAGTGTCCATGTATGCAGCAGGATTGGGTACCCACCAAGGAACCATTGAAACCACTATCTGCTACAGAAAAAATTGCTTCCATTGGTCAGGCAGCCACCATATCACCAGAGATTAACCCATGTACATCTGATCAATTCCAGGAGTCTCTACCACCCATCCAGTTTGACTGGAGTAGCAGTGGCCTTACTAACCCTTTAGATGGTATGGATCCAGAGTTGTATGAGTTAACAACTTCTAAGCTGGAAATCTCCACCTCAAGCCTCAAAGTGACTGATGCATTTGCGAGACTTATGTCCACAGTAGAGAAGACAAGCACATCTACCAGGAAACCGAAAAGAGAAGAGCACTTGAGTGAAGAAGCTATCAAGGTGATCACTAGCCTTGCTGACTTAATGTTCATGCATGCCAAGGTGTTGATGTTCCCAGCCACGTTAACACCTTACACAAGCTCCCAAGAAAAAGCAGACTGATAACAGATGTGAATTGGGCAGTTTCAATTGCTTGTCCTGTCCTCCATCCCTGCCCTACCATCAAAAGCATACCTGCTATAATTTAAAAAAAAAATCAAATTCAGCTGATTTGTTGGTAAGCCGCACTAGAAACGTATATATAGTAATGTATATTTATGTACTGAAGTCTTAAATTTATATTAGAAAAATGTAAATAATCGGGGGTGAACATTTTTGAAGATTTATTCTTTTTGTGTTGCTGGGGTGTATATATTTATGTCTTTGTGAAATACACTGGTGGTGTCTTTCTTACAACAAAACTTTTGAAATAAAAAAATTAAAAAAAATGGTAAAAGATTGGTTGCTTTCCTCCTGAGATCAGCAGTAAGACAAGAATGTGCACTCTCACCATCTCTATTCAGCATTACTAAAGGTTCTGGCCAGCAATTAGACAAGAACAAGAAATAATGTACATTCAGATGGGAAAGACAGATGTAAAACTATATTTACAGATGACATGATTTTTCTACATAGAAAATGCTAGAAAAAGAATCCACTACAAAGTGATTAGAACTTATAAACAAGTTCAGGCAAATATGTAGGATATAAGATCAATATACAAACATCAATCATATTTCTATATTCATGCAATGACCAATCCAAAAATGAAATTAAAAAATAATACATTTGCAGTAGCTTTAAAAGAAATAAAATACTTAAAAATAAATTTAACAAGAGGAATGCAAATCTTATACTCTAAAAACTATAAAACTGTAGTGAAAGAAATTAAAGATCTAAATAAATAGAGAAAAGTTCATGGATTGGAAGACTTAATATTGTTAAATGGCTATGTTCCCAAATTGATCTATAGATTCAACAAAATCCCTATCAGATTCCTAAGTGACTTCTTTGTAGAAATTTACAAACTGATTCTAAATTCATATGAAAATTCAAGAGACAGAATATGTAAACAATCTTAGAAAAAAGTAAAAAGTAGGAGGGTTTGCACTTACCAATTTCAAAACATTCCATAAATAATGGTAATCAAGACAGTGTAGTACTCACATAAGGATAGACAGGCAATCAGTAGAATGGAATTGAGATTCAGAAATAAAACCGTGTGTGCATGATCAGCTGATTTTCAACAAAGGCACCAAAACTATTCAATAGGAAAAGAATAGTCTTTTTAACAAATGTGCTGGGACAACTGGACAGCCACATACAAAAGAATTAAGGGGGCCCCTATGGTGGTTGAACCATGTACTCCAAAAGGTATGTCTAAGACCTAACCACTAGTACCTAGGAATGTGACCTTATTTGGAAATATGATGTCTTTAAGATGTAATTAAGATTCTCAAGAAGAGATCATCCTGGATTTTGTTTGAAACCTAAATCTAATGACTGGTATAAGGAGAGGGAGATTTGACATAAACATAAGAAGAAGGCCATGTCGAGTTGAAGACAGAGATTGCAGTGATGTACAAGCCAAGGAACATCAAAAGCTGCCAATAGCTACCAGGAGCTAGGAAAGAACCATGGAATGGATTTTCCCTCAGAGCCACTCCTGCCAACATAGGATGTGATATCAAACTTCTCACCAGAACTGTGAAATAATCCATTTCTGTTGTTTTAAGCTGTCATATTTGTGGCAATGTGTTACAGCAGTTCCAGGAAATGAATGCAGATCTTTACCTCACACCATATACAAAAATGAACTCTAAATGGAGCAAAGACCTAAATGAATGTGCTAAAATTATAAAACTGAGGAGAAAACATAGGGGGTAGATCTTCATCAACTTAGGTTGGACAATGAATTCTTAGATATTATACCAAAAGCATAAGCAACAAAAGAAAATATTGATATATTGGACTTCATCAAAATTAAAAATTTTTAGTGCTTCAAAGGACACTATTAAGAAAGTGATTCACAATATGTAAATCTATCAAAACACCACATTGTATCCCATATATAATTATTTGTCAATTAAAAATTACAATTAAAATAATTTTAAAAAGTGAAAAACAACCCATAGTAAGGGAAAGAATATTTGCAAATCATATATCTAACTTGTCGTGGCACATTTGCAGGACAGAGGATGAACACAGAACATAAAAAAACACACAGACATACACAAAGATGGTTACAAGACTGCAGTGCCAACGTACCAGTCATTTTATTTTTATACCCCAAAAAAGTAAATAGGGCACAATTTCCAGGGCAAGTCTTGTAGACTGATTCCAATAAACAGTTCCCACGAGTAAAAGATAAGGATAAGGAACGCATGCCAGTAAAGGTTTAGAATGGCGACGCTGGAGGTGTACTTTACGCCTCCCTTCTCATCTGAGGACATATTCCCCACCCAGATTTTAAGGTTTCCTCCTGTAGCCAAGAGTTTCCAGATGTGCCCTTGTTTTTCTGAGCCCCGAGTAAGTGAGGCTGTGGAGGGGAAGGGCCTTTATCATGCCAGATAACCGTCGTTGGCAATGGCCTCGACAGTGTCTTCATAAACACGCCAGCGTAAGGAGTGAGCAGAACACTTTTCCTTAAAGTGGCCATAGGGGCTCCAGTCAACAATGTTAGGATTACTGCGTACTTCTTTTAGAACTTTACCTCTACATACGCTCCAATCAAAATGAGCTACAGGAGGTTCAGTGTGAGGCATAGAACAAAGGGGCAGAGATGGAGGTCTTTCAGTTGCGTTAGAAGGCATCCCTTTAAACCCCTTCATAGATAATAGTACAGTGCGGGCTGCAAAAGTAGAGGTGTTATATTGCAGACCCAAGCTTGAGTAGAGGGTACCAGACAATGCTGTCCTGCTCCAAAACAAATGGGATACCCTTGAGCATAAGTAGAGTAATTAGAACCCAGTCTCCCTTCATGCCCGGGATGCGGTGATTGATATTGACAAGGAGGAGGCAGCCATTTGGAATCATTAGTATAGACGATGACTTCAGGCTCCCCCCAAGATACCGCTTTAAAAAGGGGGGGATAGGGAACATAAGCCCAATATACATGCTGAGCATCAGCAGAAATAACCTGATCAACCAGAGAGGAGCATAAAATTAGTGGAAAGGCAGGTAGGCTAAGGGGCAGCCGCACTGCCAGCGTTACCAACTGCTTTTTCTTTAGTTTTAGATGTCGTGTTGTCATCTTGTGCGGCATCTTGACTGGGACATCGCCTTTTGAGCCGGCGTACAGGAACCCACTCACAACCTTGTCCTGTGGAAACATAAGCATATGCCCGACCCCAGTGAAGAACTTCTCCCTCAACCCATCCTCCAGTAGGAGTGGCAGCAAACACGGGCTCACAGGCCTTTTGCAAAGGAGGGGAAGAGGCGCAATGACGCTCTGCTGCCGAGGCATGCAGGTCCTGCCAAGAATTTAAAAACTTAAGGGTACAGAGGGCACGGAGTAAATGCTGGTGAGGAGATTCCTTGACTCCCCCTTTATGTTTTTGTAACTGAAGCTTGAGAGTATGATTGGCACGCTCAATGATGGCTTGCCCTTGGCTGTTAAAAGGAATTCCAGTAATGTGTTGAATGGAATAGAGTGTTAGAAAGCTGGCAGTTTTTGAGAGGTATAAGCTGGAGCGTTATCTGTCCTTAATGTCGCTGGAAGTCCCATGACAGCAAAACATGAATAAAGATGAGTAATAACTGCATCAGCCTTTTCAGAGCTATGAGCCATAGCCACTGAAAATGAGAATAAGTGTCAATTGTATGATGAACATAGTGAAGTTTTCCAAACGAGGTGATGTGGGTAACATCCACCTGCCAAATATGATTACTATGCACCCTCGTGGGTTGCACCCAGGGGGGAGGGAGGGAAGAGCGAGAGGAGCACAGGGGGAACAGGAGTGGACAATAGCACGAGCCTGTTTTCTAGATAGAGAAAATCGTTGTTGAAGGCTTTTAGCATTAGTAAAGTTTACTTTGCTGGACTGATGGAAAAGGAGAGATAACAACCTTTTGCACCTGGGAACTCCAGTAACCTGTTTTGCGAGTGCTGGAAGCATTGGTAAAAAGGTCGGAGCCGATAGAGGTCGATAAGCTGTGATTGTTAGGGGAGGACAGAATGTACACGTAAGAAGGAATACAATTTATGAGGAGGACAGTGGTTATCAAATGTTCCAACTTAGTCAGCACAGGCTTAGTGGCAGAACCAGCAAGGCTTTTTATATTTAGATTCTGATTGGCCTCTTGCATGTGCATTTTTCCTTTCTGGGAGTAGGACAAAGCCCTTTTTGGCATGGGGTTTTATAGTAAAACAAAGCGGGTCAGATAATTACTTTATATGGCCATTTTACATAGAATAATTTTAGGTTTTATGCTAGCTTCAGGGAAGAATTTGCACAAGGTGGGAGGCAAGGTCAGAAAATTTTCCTTCTGAAGCCTTTAAGTTAGTTATTTGAATCCCATCAACATAAGGTCACCTGGCTATAGACTGAGGGAAAAAAACCTTTTAGCACCAATTGTTAGCACCTCAAACAGTGATATAAAGTGGTAACCATGGATTTTAATCATCATTCACTTTTTATCTTAAATTACTATACAAAAATTAATAATTTTTAATTATTTTTTCTAAGCAAAAACTCTGTTACAGTAACATAATGTACACATAAACAGCTAGCTTGTAAAGAGTAGGACAAAAATATGAGACCAAGGGAAAACTAAAGCTTCCGATTTAAGTTCTTTTTATTTATTTATTTATTTTGAGACAGAGTCTCACTTTGTTGCCCAGGCTACAGTGCCGTGTCGTCAGCCTAGCTCACAGCAACCTCAAACTCCTGGGCTCAAGCGATCCTCCTGCCTCAGCCTCCCGAGTAGCTGGGACTACAGGCATGCGCCACCATGCCCAGCTAATTTTTTTCTATATATATTAGTTGGCCAATTAATTTCTTTCTATTTATAGTAGAGACGGGGGTCTCGCTCTTGCTCAGGCTGGTTTCGAACTCCTGACCTCGAGCAATCCGCCCACCTCGGCCTCCCAGAGTGCTAGGATTACAGGCGTGAGCCACCACACCCAGCCCGATTTAAGTTCTTTAACTACAACTTTTAGGACAACTTTGAATCCCTAACAGTACTGTTAATATTAGATGATAGT